AAAATTAAAACTTAATTTTAAAAGTCTAAATAACTCCAAAAATTAATAGTTTTTTCTTATACACATCTAGATGTGTATAAGAGACAGGTTTCGCATATTTTATTAAATTTTTTTACAATATTTTTATTTTTAAACATTAAAGTTAATTATACAAATTTTTCAAAAAACTTTTCTTTTTCAAAGTATTTATAAAAAATTGAAATTTATTTTTAAAATGTCAAAAAAATAAGCTGCTAAATTATGTTATTTCTTATATTATTTAATTTAATTTTACCCTGTTGTAATAAAAGTTTTTTAACATTGTGAAAATTGAAATAATAAAAAATTACTGATATTCAATAAATAAGTAATAAATTAAACATAAGCACGAAGGCTGTTTAATTATTAAAAAAAAAAAAACAATTCTTAAATATTTTGCACATTTAGCACTTTACTTATATTATATATCTGCACAAAACTGTTATATACAGTTTTTTTTCAGTTACTGCTTAAGCTGCTGTTCGAATTAAAAAGCCTCACATATTTGGATATTCTCAATTAAGCAAAGTGTTATTTTTTAAATTAATCGATTTATTGCCTATAAACACATGTACATACACATACACAATTACAGAACAAACTTTTTGTTTCAAAATTTATTTTCGTGCAAGTACATACATGCATATATGTATGTAATTTGCGAATAGCACTGGCTCGTATTTGGCCAAAACCACCAAAAATTAAAGAAACAAAAAAAAAAACAATGAAAAAACAACAGAATGCACACTCGTAAGAGGCACGAAAACACAATCAATAAAATATGCTCATATTCGTTTTTTTTCTGCTACACTGCTGCTACAACAACGCGCAGGCAATTATTTTGCACATAACTTTTTTCAACATTTCTATTCTGATTTATGAATTATTAATTTTTCACATAAACATTTTACGCACACACACGCACATATTTCTTTGTTGATTTTCTATAAATTTGAAGCGCTTACTTTTAGGCTTTAATTGTGCCGTTGTTGCGCACCTTTAACACTATGTTATTGTTATTATTGGGTTTGTGTTTTTCTATTAATGAATAAATTAATTTTCAACTTTGCTATGCGCGCTCTGCAAAACGCTCACGCTTTGCTCGTGTGAAAGTGTACTGAATCGAAATTAGTGCGAGTACTTTTGGCAAAGCCAGCAAATGCCAACAGCCACTGCGCCGCAGTGAGTGCCGCACAAACAAACATACGCGTTCGTACACATGTCATTCTCTGTGTATATAGATGTGTGTGTGTGTTTGTATGTGGCGTCAGTGCCAACTAACAAATGCCGCATATATAAGCAGCAAAAAACAACAATAACAACAACTGCCCAACGGACATGCCAACTCTGGCTACAATAGCAAAAGCGCGCAAATCTCACAAAAAAAGCAACGACAAGCCCACTACCGCGCCGCCGCCGCTCTCCGCCGCGTCCACGCGCCATTGGCGTTCATCCCCGGCGGCAAGGTGGCAGTGTTTGTCGATTGCTCCACAAAGCTTCAGCTGAAATGTGCGCAGCTCCAGCGCATACAAGTATATAGCCCACAAGTGTAACTTCCACACGCCGTCGAACCCTACTCGCCCTCGGCTGCGCTGTCTTCATTGATTGGCAGTTGGCTATAATTAAATTCTAGTTAAGCTATTAATTTGTAATTGTTCGCCACTTTATATTAGCACTTGCTAGCTAATATTAATTCGCAATAAATTTGTTTAGAAAAATGTTTCGTAAAATATTGGCAACGACTCTCTCCTACTCAATATAAACAAGTTTGTGAAAAGCTTTCTTTTTCAACCCCTAAAAATTGTAGAACGTACATCGTAACGGTAACTTCAAATTGTTGTTGCTTTTGTTGTTAATTGATAAAGGAGCAACTGCTCTTATCAGTAATCGGCGTCCAATCTCTGTCATTATGCTCTTGTGAGCCGCCGATTTTATTTCCTGCTCTCTGCCTCTCTGCCTCTCTGCTTGGCCTGGTTGAGCGCAATTTGTCTATATTCGCTCTCGGCGCCACCTCTCAACTTACACATGCGTGGTGTATTTCCGTGGTTCACACCGACTTTGTATTGGTAATTGTTTACAAAGGCCAAAGCTTCCGCTTTATTTGTAAACAAACGGGTCTCAAGTCGCAGAAATCAAAGATTTTACAATGCAAAGCGCCAACAGAAGGTAAATGCATATACATATATCATACGTATACCATACATATACATATGTACTGAAATTGATTTTTGATACAAAATTATTAATTAAATTACGTCAACTGGTCCACATTATAATATAAAGCTTTATCTCGCAGCGGCTGGCTTTAGARAGTAGCTAGATCTATAGCTCAATCTGAGCACAATCATTCACAATATCTGAGCAATGTTGTTATTGTTGTTGTAACGAATATATAATCACCCTTAGGGTAGTAAGGTTCAATCCGGTTGTCATCGAAGTCCTAAAACGCGCCGTTTCGACGGGTTCGCACCATCAGGTGATGGCTGATAGATTAGTGGAAGTCATTGACCATTGCGATTCCCACAACAGCCGGCTTTACATTACCAAAATTGACCAAGGGTTTTTATTTAATAAATCATTAGGATTTAGTACGACTACTGAAGCTAGTTTGCTGTGATGTTGATTAATTTGTAGAAGACGTATTAACAATTGCTTTGTCTGTATCTTCCTGATAGTGGCTATATAACTCTCTCTCTGTGTCAAGTGTTGAGAGTTTGTCTGCAAGCTCATACTCTGAAAAAACACTCACCTTGCTCAATGCTTTCAACATAACCCGAGGATTTCATAGGATCTTCCTCGACTTTACCGCTATCTACCTACCTTCGTAAATTCATAAGCTATCTTCCCGCCACATTTCACCAGAGTTTGTTGGATTATATTGTTAATAGCAGAAGGATCTGCATTGTGGCCCCTTTTGGTATACACACTTGTTTCTGCTACCAGGTCCTCAAATACCTTAACGTATTTCCACTCCTCCGTAGCCAGATGCGGATTAAAGACTTTAATGGGCTGCATTATCTGGTTTTGCTGCGATGGTGTAGCCGGGATCCAGACCATTGCCCTTAGCGTTTCTTTTTTGTCTACCGCTACCAGCGTCAGGGGTAAACCTTGCTAACAGCGGCTCTGTAAAGTTCGACCGGTCTCCTGTCGTCGCAAGCCATAACTTTATACCAGCTGGTATCGGTGCATGATTGTATAGTAGCACCTTCCGCGCCACGATTAGCAGCGCAGCTTTTACCCATTTCCGTTTTTGCTCTGGAAAGTTTTTCTTCGGGAGAATCCTCATCCCAAATACGAATGATAATACGGTTTCGGGTCATATCAGTAAGTGATTTAGCGAGTGTCGCACCATTCGTTTTCGGCATTTTAGACCTCTGTCTCTTTGCTGCCACTGCTGTCAGTTCAAAATTGGGCTGAACCGCCTTCGCGTAATGGAGTTCTGGAGTTTCTTTGTAAGCTCCTGATTGTTAAGCGAATGAAGTTGTGCTCTAAGCAGGCAGTTCCTTTAGTTTTTCTTACAGTAGATCTGAACTCCTTTTGTTCTTTATGATTTTTATGACATGTTTTCATGTTTTACCTACGAGTGTAGGGGAAAGTAGGTAAGCTTGTTTCGCTAGTAAGGTTGTTGTTGTAACGTAGGAATACATTGATGAAGTAAATTCGAGGCATAGTTTCGAGTTGACAGACCTTAGCCTGATAAATAAAGGAGGCCCGTTCCGGTTACTTAGACCCGACGGTCGTGGAAAGCACTGCGGTATACTAGCCGGCAACCTTGGAGAGGGTTGAGCAGGGAATTTTTGCCGACCAGGAATTTTTTTCGATTATTTCGAGGCAAACTTAGCATAAGAGAGCTGTAGAACTTGGATAATATTGCTTATACAGAGTTGTTGCTTTTGTAGCGCCAGAATTTGAAAACTAATTTTGAGAAATACTAGATTCGGTTCGATCCATTTAGTATTAGATGAGTATTGTTGGCAGGGCATGCAAAGAGGTAGCCAGTGTTGTGCGGGGACTCATTGCATGCAGGACATATATTGGATATGTCGGGGTAGATTCTGAATAAGTAGGAGTTTAACCTATTAAAATATCCCGTATGAAGCTACGCTAGATTCGCTCGTGCTAGAGTCTGTCTCTTATACACATCTAGATGTGTATAAGAGACAGAGCCAGTGTTGTGCGGGGACTCATTGCATGCAGGACATATATTGGATATGTCGGGGTAGATTCTGAATAAGTAGGAGTTTAACCTATTAAAATATCCCGTATGAAGCTGCGCTAGATTCGCTCGCGCTAGAGTCACTCGTATTAACGCAGCGGTGATTTACTTCAAGAACGACATTCACTGGAAGTGAGTCGGTGAAGGTGTTGATAGCTAAACTGTGAATGGCGATCAGTACCTGTCGGAAGTTAGTTGCGTCCAAAGTCCATTCGGCGTACTGTACTATGTCGTCGACGTAGTTAAGTAAAGACCTCTTGATTCTCCTAGGAGGCGGTTGTGTCAGGATTGCCTAGCCAATCTTCGAGGTCCCCTCCATAAATTCAATAAATTACATCTCATTTCCCAAGTTTGGTTGAAATTTATGAAGCCATGGACATTTAAACTTGAGATACAATTCCTGAATAATTCGAATTACAAGCATATCTATTTATATATGGGTTCGTCGTTGGCTATTTATATTTCAAAAACTTGTAAATCGTTGCATACATTTAGGATCAATCTTCCTTATCGCTGTAAAAACAAATTTGCTGATATTGCTATGTATAAGCATGTGTAAATATTTGTATGACGAGTTTTTTAGAGCACTTCATGAAGCTTTAGTCAATATAAACATACATACATCTATAGACATACGTATAAAGTATATGCATTAATTAATGGAAACATTTATTGTTATAATCAAACTAACAATCTCGAAAGGTTTACTATCTTCACAAATACATTCCGCGTAGCTAACAGAAAAATAAAAAATAAACACACTTAATTACATTTGATTTACTTTAACAAAATAGGGTTTTGTTTATTGCTTCCGGTTTCTCATTTAATTTACATGCACATATTTACAATTATTTTAATGTCGTTAAAGTATAAAATTCTTATTTTTACATAGCCCTGAATCCATTTATTGATAAATTGGTAATTACTATAAAGTTTCACTGAGTTCGTCTGAGTAGTATGTGGCGTTTATTAACTGTGTCCACATAGTGGATATGAAAACATCAGCATTTCTCTCAATCAATATTTGATTAGAGAATGTACATCACAATCTAATTTATCACGACCGTGTAAATCTTGCAGTTCTAACACAACAAAGCTGCCAATTACATTGCCGCCCGCTTTGCGCACCAGCTCAATCGCAGCTTTGAGCGACCCACCAGTAGCGAGTAGGTCATCAACGATTATAACTTTTTGACCCGGTTTAATCGCGTTGGCTTGCATTTCAAAAATGTCCTATTAAAAAGAAACACACAATTGTTTAATAAAAAATCATAAATAACAATACAATTGTCCTACTTTTCCATATTCTAGTACATATTCCACAGATATGAGTTCACCCGGTAATTTGCCCTTCTTACGCACTGGTGCGCAACCAAGACCCAATTCGGTTGCTACCATAAAATTGAATAGGAAACCACGTGACTCTAATCCTACTATTATTTCAGCGTTTGGACATTTTTCTTTAACTAGTTGCACAAGAACTTCTTTCAAGTACTTGCAGGCAGTTGGGTCTCTCAGCGCACTAAAAATGTCACTAAAAGTAAAATAAAATTTAGTCTTCTCAAATGTATGATCTCATCTCAACTTATTTACCGGAAGACAATGCCCTTCTTTGGAAAGTCCGGAAAAGTTCCAATTTTAGTTTTAATATACTCCAACTTGTCATCGTTGCCCATGTTTAACTTAATCTGATAAGTACAAGTATAGATAGAGGGGGCAGTGCTTGTATTGGAATGAACTGATTAAAATTAATATTTTAGAAATGCTGCGAGGGAATTGAAGTTTTATTGTGTAAAGTAAAAACAATTTAGCGCAATTATAAAATTTGACAGTTTAAACAGCTGTTACTGTTCTTATCAATATCGTAAAACTAGCGCTGCCGTTTTTTATTATTACCAAAAACTAGCCTAACAACAGGGTTGCAAATAATGCATTATTAAAATAATTCAATAAATATTTTAATTAAATGTTTATATTTTGTAATCCCGAAAATCGTAATTAAATAATTTTTACAAGACTTAATTGGACACACCGAATTGAAAAAAAAAAATTTCACACCTATAGTTAAAAATTTTTTGAAAAAATTTGTATCCCAAGCATATATAATTAATGGTTATGTAAAGAAACCGTTATAGAATTTACTATTTTTCACAAAAAGATATACAAATACACAATTTTCATCAAAAGTCTTCAAGACTATGTTCGTTCTTAGTTGTGCACTTCTTATTCAAGACTACATTGGATGTTTGTTCATAAAGCCTCTATAAGCCACACTAAGCAATCTTGTGCTCCATATATAATACAATACAACACTGGCGCTGGTAAACAGCTGATTTATGGTTAAACAAAACAGTCAATAAATCTTCCATGTGCGAATTGAAAATTTGTTTTACCTTTCACTGTAAATAAACAAAAAATTTGTTAAAATATGGGAAACTCAAAGCCGAAAGTGAAAAATAATAATGCTGTGAAGCGGCACCAGCAAAATAAGCGAAAACTGCTAAATAATGGAAAACAACAGTATAAGTCTAATAAACCTAATTTTCCAAACTCAAACCAATGGCGCCGGAAAAAGCCACAAGACGAGGTAAAGATTCGCACGCTTGTATAAAAAACGGTTTATTATACATTTATTTATAATATTTTTTTAATATAGGGCAGAAAACAAAAATTAAAGGAACGCGAAGAACTAAGATTGCAAAAAATTTCAGAATCCAAAGCTGAAAAGGAGCGTGTGCAGCGTGAAAAAGAGGAACGCATACGAAATTACAAGAAAAAACGTTTAGAGAAAACCAAAGTGATTAGCAAGAAAACCAAACGCGGTCAGCCGCTAATGAAGGATCGCATGGAATTGTTATTGAAACAAATACAAGAAATGAAGCGTGGGACATAGTTAAGAAATATGGAAAATAATGAATAGTTTGTAGGATTCAAGAGGAACGTGTTACGTAAATGAAAATAAAAAATTAAGATATTTTTCATCAGGATGAAAAACTTAAGCGTTATCATACAATAATGTTAGAAAATAAATAATTATAGCTAAATAAAAATTAATAATATACAAAAATTAAACAATTTTGTTGAGTTTATAATATAACACACTTTTATTATTAAAGTAGTCGTCAAACTTTTTATGCTGTAAGTAAGAACTAAATAAATAAATTACAAATAAGCAGAAACTTTAAGATCGTTTACACCGAAGTTAGAATACCCTTTATAATCAAAAAAGTTCTTAAAAAACAACTTGATTCTGATTGTTTAGTTTGTATGACAGCTACATATCGGTATATATAGTGGTACGTTCTGAAAAAAATTGTTCGAAAATTGGAATGATTCTCCAAAAGTCGTGAAGCTGTATTGTCAAAGAAAAAAATTTCCATAACTCCAGTTTCAAGGTTCATTTTGTATGGCAGTTATTTATTACAGTAGTCCGATGTAAGTGGTTAAGACAAATGAGCCGCTTCTTGAGAAGAAAAGGACGAGTGCAAAATTTTAGACAGATATCTCAAAACTATTGGAATTTTTGGCAAAATCGACGCGGCTCGGCGCACTGATCATTTATTTAAATATTCATTATAGGTTTGTTGTAGCAGCAGAATTCTGACGAGTTGATCCAGTTACATAGACACGAGTGTCGTACGATCGGCTACAGCGTTTCCTACGGAGTGTAAAATATATTGTATTCGTCAATTATTTAGCGGAAAACCAAGCTACATACATAACTATGTAAATGCTTGAATTAAATTAACAACCAGCTACTTGCTGAGGCAAATGCAAATATTCTACGACTTTCTACTCCAAAAAAAAATTTGGCATGAAACAATTTTATTTTTCAATCCAAACAGAAAAATTTTACATTTTACCAATAAAAATTAAATCTATTTTAATAAAATTGCTTTATAACAAAATTCTTAAAATGGCGCAAAATTTTCTGTACATGTTCGAATTTGTGGTCGATGAACTGTTGATAACACGGCCAAATCATTGCGCCCCAGAGGAGTACCCAACGTGCTGTGAAATCTCTTTTCGTTCCAGCGTTTTCGTCTCCATATGTGATCGCGAGTTCGGTCAATGCGTCGACGTTTGCGCACCTAAATGTGGCAAATGCTGCCTCTTCTCACTGGAGTCACCAGTAACGGACAAAGATCGTCTGCTAATACACATTTATAAGAAGAAGACGGATAAATGCAAATTCCTCGTCGGTGCCACAGATATACCAATCAAGCCACTTTTCGATAAGGTAACAGAAAGCTTCAATATTGAAAATCCAAATTGGATGGAGCAATTGGTCAAACATACCGCGCGTATGCCTGATCCGAAAACACCATCAAAGACTACAGTCATCGATAATGATTGTGATGACGAAACTTTTGGACGCCGCGAACGAATGTGTCCCACCTCGGAGTTGACCAAGCGTGTGCTGCCGCTATTCAATATGAAACATATGCAAACCGGCAATGTAGTACTTATAATGCGTCTGGTTTGCAATGGACCAACGATTGTATCCAGTTTTCCATTCTCACGCATTTGTTCGACGGCTTGTGGTAAAAAGGTGACACCATGCCCATCTACTTGTCCGGCCATAACGTCCAAGCCACAAAGTGTATGCCCAATGCCAGATCCTTGTGCACCAGATCTGGAAAAGAAAAAACCCATATGTCGTCGGTACTTTGCTTGTAATGCCGACAAGGGTTGTCCTTGCGAAGAGTGCGAAGACTATTGTGACAGAGGTAAGCGTATGGTATATTCTATTTAGGCAATAAATATGTAAGTATATCGAATTTAAATGTGTAGAATGTCCTACTGGTTGTAAGAAGAAGAAAAAGCAACCATCGCAAAATATTTGCTGTCCACCACCGCCGCCCTGTTGCCCGCCGCCACCTCCGTGCTGCCCGCAACCCGACCCTTGCCAACAGAAGAAGGAACCACGCACAGATATGTGTCAACGCTACTTTTCCAACGAGCCGAAGGGCTGCACCTGTGAAGAATGCATGGACGAATGCGAGGCGGGTAAGTCAATTCGAAGAGCTTAAAGTAGGAGCGGATCGTACCCTTTTTGTTGTAAAATTTTTATGTTAGAAAATTTTCGTATAAAACTATTATTTGCTTTGGTTTCGTTAGTAAAGCTGTCGTTTTTCGGTACTTCTTAATTTTTTCTTGGCAACTTTACGTAACTTTAAAATCGCTCAAAAAATTACAAATAACTTAGCGCTTCCACGGTACGTTCTCCTACCGCACACTCGAATTCAATTTTCCATATAATGTGCTAACAAAACGGGTGCGATTCCTTGAGTATGTTTTCGTTTCTTCCACAACTTTCGCCTAATTTCTTATCATTTACACAGCCAAAGCTAGAGCATTGCGGAAACTGCGCTATTTAATGCAAAAATATGCTTAAGATATTAAAAAGAAAAAATTTTAATTCTACAACCTTCAAAATTATATATAACCTCTTAAAATTAAAATGAATTTATTTCCATAAAAAATAGTCGAAAAGGGTATGTTCTTAGCCTCCTCCTGATAAATGAGTTATGTATTCCGATAATTCTCTTTAATTTTATGTTTTCACATTAGGAAGCACCGAAGAAGAATCGGATTCCTGTCAGCAATGTGTCCCGCCACAAATTATGCCACCGTGCTTTATTGTTCCTACTAAACCCGAACCCGGTCCTGAGGCATACGAAGAGTTCGAAGCTTGCCTAAATGGCAGTGGTCTGGTAATACGTGTCCTCAAGAACACGCATCAAGTGGAGAGCATTGATGATGGTGTTCAGGATAACCTTGATAGTGGGAGTGATTGCGATGGCAAGAATAATGCGGTGAGTTCATTTTTTTTGATAATTATTTTTGTTTTTTTTCAGGAAATTTGTAGAACTTTATAAAGAGAAACAAATATTTCGAATTTGTCCGAAAAACCTTGTTGTAGCAGCAGAAAACATTTCCAAAATACTTAAGAGTTTATAATCCTTGGCCGAATGTAAATCCGGCATTGATTGGATTGCCTGGACCTTCTTTTTTATTGGCGTAGCCACCGCTTATGCAGTTATAGACGAGCTTACAACAACGCTCCATTCGTTCTACCTTTTCGTTGTTTGACGCCAGTTGGAAATTCCAAATGAAGTAAGGTGCTTCTCCACCTAGTCTTTCCAACGGATTAGAGGTCTTCCTTTTCCTCTGCTTCTTCCGGCGGATACTGTGTCGAATACTCTCACAGCTGGAGTATTTTCGTCCATTCGGACAACGTGACCTAGCAAGCGTAGCCACAAAGTGCGCAAAGGACCCTAAATCTTTCTCTTGAAAAATCGCAACGCCGACTCATCAGATGTTGTTGCCGCCCATGTTTCAGCACCATATAGGAAGACGGGAATTATGGGTGACTTATAGAGTTTGGTTTTTGTTCGTTGAGAAAGGACTTTATTTTAAAATGTCCAAAGTAGCACCAGTTGGCAAGAGTTATTCAGCATTGGATTTCGCGGCTGATGACAGGAGATATTCCGTCTTGCCTTCATTTACCACCAAATCCATTTGCTTCAATTCCTTATCCAGTCTGGAGAATGCAGAACTAACGACGCGGGTGTTAAGCGCAATTATACCAATATCATGGGCTTACGCCAACAGCTGTAGATCCTCATAAAAAATTATGCCTTCTCGATTCAGCGCCACAACTCGAATTATTTTCTCCAGTAGTAGACTGAAGACGTTGCACGTAGGAGAGGCGCCTTGTCTGAAGCCTCGCTTGGTTTTGAACGGCTCGGAGAGGTTCTTCACAATCCTGACGGAGCTGTTTTTGATGTTGCCCAACGTTAGCTTATACAGCCGTATTAGTTTTGCTGGGATACCAAATTCAGACATCACGTCATAAGGCAACTCCTTTTCGCGCTATCAATATTAGCTTTTTTAAAATCGACGAAGAGGTGGTGTGTGTCGATTCTCCTTTCACGTGTCTTTCCCAAAATTTGGCGTTTGGTGAATATCTGGTCGGTTATTGATTTGTCAGGTCTAAAGCCACACTGATAAGGTCCAATCATTTTGTGGACGGTGGGCTTTAATCTTTCACACAATACGCTCGATAGAACCTTATACGCGATGTTGAGGAGGCTTATCCCACGGCAGTTGACGCAGATAGTGGAGTCTATCTTGTGGATTGGCAGAAAAAACTTAAATTCCAATCGTTCTCCGCCGCCGTATTTGAATAGCTCGGCAGACAATCTATCGGCCCCCGCTGCTTTGTTATTCTTCAGACTCCCAATTGTTATACGAACTTCACGGTCGGGCAATGGAACGTCCGAACCATCGTTGACCTACCGTGGGACAACTGATGGGCCTTTTTACACAAGTTATCTAAATTTTTGAGGTATCGAACTAAAAAAATACGCCAACATTTCTTCAACAAATTAACTGCAGATTTCGAGTATAAGATTATCAAAGCATTGTTCTGAAATTTTACCGAAAGTTTTGGGAAATATATGAAATTTCTTCTTTTCTCTTTCTTCTCCTGGTCTAGCCGCAACATAATGTAATAATTTTCTTCCTCCTTGTTGATTGTAATCGATTAGCAAATTTTGTTAATAATAAGGAATTACTAAATTTGTATATAGCTCCTTCCTAACTTGTTGTATGCTGAGCAGGATATAATAATTTTTCATCCAAGATTGTAACACCCAGCAAGAAACGTCGAAAACCCCTATATAGAATAATCAGACGAACTGAGTCGATTCCGTCATATCCGTCTGTATGTCCGCATGTTTGTTTGTATATACGCGAACTAGTCCTTCAAAGATATTGAGATATTGATCCTTTTCTCTTCGAGAAATCGCTCATTTATTGGAACCGTTGATATCGAACCCCTATAGTGTATAGCTGTCATACAAACTGATCGGACATAATCAACCCATTACATGAAAAACTTTTTTATTTGACAAGATGTCTTCATGAAATTTATTAAGGATTATTGTCTAAAGCAACTCTACAATCTACGATCAGGGATACTACCACTACATCATTTAAGGTTTTATATTTGGTTAAGCATATGATTGCTATAAGAAATACACCTGTAACCGA